TTTCCCATTCATTCTGACTATTATTATTCTATTATATCATTGCTTTTCTTCTACACTTCTTGAAATCCACTTGCTATAAATTTCCAGCCTGTGACAGCTCACTCAGGTCCAGCAGTTTCACACAGGTTCAAAGGCACGAAGCTTGCTATTTGCTATGAAGTTGGTCCAGGACCCACGAAGCATCTCTCCATTGGTGAGGTCAGAGGACAATTTGAATAACAAAGTAGGAGACTTGATAAAAAACACTTCTGTGGAAACTAAAAGAGTACTGTATTTTGTATAAAGTTGCCACACTGTAAGCGAGACAGGCACTGGTGAGTCAACTGGTCTTTAAAAAATCTTTTTAACTCCCTTTCACAACACTAGTTTATTTCCGTTCTTTAGTCCCAATCACAGATAATGCTAATTCCCCTAATTCCCACCATTGGCTCATCACATTTAACAGCGTTCTGGTGTGGCACATTGTCAAAGGCCTTCTGGAAATCGAAATAGATTATATCCACTAGCTCTCCTTTGTCTAACTTGCTCATTACCTCCTCAAAGAGTTCTAACAGATGTGTCAGGCATGTCCTCCCCTTGATGAATCTGTACTAACTCAACCTGCTTTACCATGTACCTCCAAGTACACCACAATCCCATCCTTAATAATGGACTCTAAATTCTTAGCAATAACTAATGTCAGCCTAACTGGCCTAATAGTTTCCTGTCTTCTGCCTCCCTTCCTTCTTAAACAGGGGTGTTATGTTATCATTTTGCAGTCCTCTGGGACCATCCCTGACTCCAATGACTTCTGATCACCACCAATGCCTCTACAATCTCCTTAGTTATCCTCTTTCAGAACTCTGGGGTGTAGTTCATCAGGCCTGGGTGATTTATCTGGCTTCAGACTTTTCAGCTTCCCCAGCACCTTCTCCTTATTGATGAACACTTCACTCGCCTCTGACCCCAACTCCCTTGAAGTTCTTTACTAAATAAAAACCAAAAGAACTGCGGATGCTATAAATCAGGAACAAAAACAGAAGTTGCTGGAAAAGTTCAGCAGGTCCTGCAGCATCTGTGAAGAAAAAATCAGAGTTAACGTTTCGGGTCCGGTGACCCTTCTCCAGCCTCATTTTCCAGCAGTCCAATGTCCACTCTTGCCTCTCTCTTATCTTTTAGATATCTAAAATAAACTCTTACAATCTTCTTTTATATTACTAGCAAGTTTACTCTCATATTTCATCTTCTTCCCACTTGTTGCTTTTTCTGTTATCCTCTGCTCATTTTTAAAGGCTTTCCAATCCTATGCGAGGATATGGAGCACCTAGAGAAAACCCACACTGACAGGGGGAGAATGCAAACTCCATACAGAGAGCCGCCTGTGGGTGGAATTGAACCTGGATCTCGGGTGCTGTGAGGCAGCAGTGCTAACTGTTGACCCTTAGCCAGTTTTCTTGTGGCTCAGGCAGTAATCCAGAGATTATTATACTTTTGGTTCTGCTTTCTAATTTAGACCCTAGCTGCTCAAATTCCCTCAGCAGAACATCTTTCCCCTTTCTACCTATATCGTTGGTATGTATGTGGACCACAACAACTGGATCTTTCCCCTCCCTCTCCAAGTTCCTTTGCAGCCCAGATGAGATACCCTGTACAAACTGAATCAGTTGCAAACTTTTCCTTAGTTGGAATTATTTTTCTGTGCAAATCAGATCCACCAAACTTTTTTAATGAAACAAAATATTTAAGAGAAGATTCAGTTGAAGACAAATAAAGACATGGATGTGTGAGAACATTGTTAAGTCAGTCTATAGTATGTTCGTACTCATGATAAGAATACCATTGCTTTGGCGTGTGGGCAGGCATAAGAAGTTGAGTTAGTCAGGAGAGAAAAAAGAGAACATTGATAGAAAACAAAAGTTTCAATCTTATATTGGAGTGATACAAGTAGCAATATTGAGTAACTATGCCCCTTACCGTTAGGATGAATTTTTGGGTCTTTGGTATCAGGTGGCTGAACCAAACTACTAGTAAATGAACTTTCTTATAACCATTTTTTTAAAGGCAAGTCAGTACTAGCCTTAAGATAACGGGATGAAATCTAAGATATTAAGGAAATCTTTTTTCTATGGAATAATCTTTTGACAAAAGTTCTCCCAGCAAATGTCAGCAAACTAGTTTGAACTAGAGATGATCTGTGTCAAACTACCAAGTAATTCATAAAAGAACTTATGTACCAATATCCCCACTTTTCTTTAAAGTTGCAAAGTTCTGTCTGTGAATGTATTTATATTTTTCTTTGCTATTTTTAATATTCCTGTTGAAAAGGTAGCTGTGGGTGGGAAAGGATGTGCTTTTAAAAACAATGCATCATTGTAATCTTTCATTCTCATCATAATTCATTACAACTTTCAAAGGCACTCTCTGAAATGCATTGTACTGAATCTTCACATCTCACTCTTGGAATTCAAAACAAAAACGACTTATGCACAGTCAACAGGTCAGAAAGATTTAAACTATTGAGAAGCAGGGTACCTTCAGCTTGTCTTGGCATCAGGCGGTGTCACTGTAATGTAGGCCAACTGATCGCCTTCTGTCAATACCATTTTAACGACTCTGGATTGAACTTACAGCCAAAATTCTTAGGAACGTAAGAACAGGAATAGGCCTTTCAGCTCATCAAACCTGCCCAGCCATTCAATACAATCATGGCTGGTTGAACATTTCAATGCCTTTACCCATCCCATCTCCATAATCCTGGTAATCAGAAATCTATCAATGTCTGCCCTTGTTCTGAGCTTCCCCAGCCATTTGGTTGTAGAGAATTCTAAAGGTTCACTTTTCTATGAGACCTTAGAGATATCCCTTCATTTTTAACTTGTGTCCCCTGATTTTGGATGGTGCTCATTGCACTCAATCAAGTATTAACCCATTCAACAGTAATTGTTATCAACATAACAATAATGGTTATCAGGAAGATAGCTTGTGGGGAGATGTTGAAATGCTCAGAAAAGATTAATAGTGGATTACAATAAATATCTCCCACTGCAGAGATATTATGAGGACTTGGTGGGAATAATGTAGGATTTCATAGATAACAGACTGAGGGCTAGGTCCTCCCAACAACCAATTTGCTGATGTAGAGCCTACTCTTCTAAATTGTATGTAGTTACGGAGATGCAATAAGCAACATTTTGTTTAGTCAGCAAGACTCTCCTCATTTGGTGAGAAGGTGGTTACCCTTGCACAAGCCAGACCGCATAGCCCCTACAGAACCCACACACTTTGATGATAAGAAAGGAGTCACACACAATACATACCACTTTGAACAACTGCAGGTTGTCCCAAGGTACTTAAAATTCATTTACTTTCGAAATATGGTCCTTGTTTGTAATGCAGGAAATAGGATGACCAATCTGTGCATAAACAATTGATGCAATAATGACCAGATAATCTGTTTTCAGCTGCACTTTGTAACATGTCACACTTGCATTGTTGTGAAGATCAGCAAAGGATACAACTTTGATGGCAGAATTCAAAATAAATGTAAGCTATTTATTTACAAAGACATTGAATTCAGATCAATGTTTAGATTGTTTATGCCTGCAAAATTAAGATACTGGCTTTGTGTTAAAATACATCTGTTAACCATCTACATGTTAAAATACATCTGTTGAATCAAGTTCAACACTAGCATCTCTTGCTATGCTATAAGCTGCCCATTTGAAGAGAAAATGAATTACTGGAAGAATTTGTGAGGTCAAGTTCCTCATACTTTTAAGCTTTCCTTTAAGTATAATAGGAAACCACTTCAAATAAGAAGCATTTACTGTTATCTTGGTGATATAGGCGGAATTTGTGGATGTCCCATGCCATTGCTCCCAAAGTATTTAAGACGTAGAGCTTGGATGTGATGTTTGACTGCCACTACAGAACTGTGTGTAATTTTGAATGTTTTTTTGAAGATAGCATTCAGTCTACACTTTGTGGGTTAGTAGTTAAATTAAGTAAATTGTGTTAACAATATGACTTGTGAAATCCTGAAGGCAATCTATGTCATTTGTAAATATCTGATTCCCTCGTCAGAAGAATTCAGCACAGAATGCCCAGTTTGCTTTCTTTTGTTAAATTTGTTTTATTTGGTTTGAAGCATGTGGCATGATAGATAAATACAAAACAGAAGGTCAATTCTCTAATCAGGAAGGAAAATTAAGTAGCATTCTTTGCACCACTTTTATTATGATAGCATTCCTTGATTCAGCTACATGGTGTTCCTGTGACTGCTGGATATAGCAGGACATGGACCAGTGCTGGATAACGTGAAATTGCATTGGTAAGTATGCAATGCAGTCGCTGATAAAGGACTGTCTACCTAAAGCAAGGCACTGTGTTTTTTTGTTCGATGAAGGCTGGCTGTTGTTAGGCAGTATGTAAAGAAGAATACCAGGAACCCAGGAACAGCTCTCTTCAGTGAAGGTAGCCTCAACATCCTGTTGGAAGAAGCAGCAATGAGTAAAGTGGAGATGAGGAGCAGCCTGCTAATTGCAAATGTCCCATAGGGAGGTTATAGTGAACAGCAACTGCAGTCTTCAACATCCATTGGAAAAGGACTAAGGCAGGCATGAAGAAAGAGTTCCAATATAAGGAACTAAATGCCTGCACACTACAGGCACTAAAGGCTCAGGCATATCATGATGTTAGACCAGCAAGGCAGCCTACAAATCACTGGGCAAATCATTCCCATACTGAGTAAATGGAATTCCAACTCCAGCATTGGTGGTGCAAAGCTCAAGATTTCACTTTACTTGTGACGAATAAAAGCAATTTTCAGCACTTAATTAATGAATCCAATTTCTGCAGTAGTGATTGGTAGATTGTTATCATTTCTCTAATCTTTGAAATCAATTTCAAATTGTGGAAAATGTTTGTTTTATCACCACTGCAGCTATGTACCTTGAAGAGTATAAAATACAGAAATGAATGCTCCAGTAGTTTAACATACAGAGTGTTGTTATGTATTGCAGGAGGGCCTGAGACTGAAACTGAAACTGAAAAACAGATGGATGCTTTGTATCTTAAAGCTTTGGAAGGGTTTATCATGATGGTCACGCAGGATGGAGACATCATTTTCCTATCAGAAAATATTAGCAAGTACATGGGTCTTACACAGGTGAGTTCTCAGCTAACAAGACTCAATTGAACAATGCATTTAGAATAGAGATTGAATTTGGGCTTTAAGTCTTACATTTTCATTTTGAATGTTATACATAATCTTCAATGGTGACTCTTAATGTTTGTTCTGCACAACTAAACTCAGAGTTTGTTTCTAACAGGTGGAGTTGACTGGACACAGCATTTTTGATTTTACCCATCCTTGTGACCATGAGGAGATCAGAGAAAATTTGACTGTAAAATGTGGTAAGCATATCGTTCGTTTTTGAATAATGACAATTTCTGTTTTACATTCCACTGTCCCCATATACTATATATCACATGGGTTAACAACCAATCATGTCCCACGTGGTTGGCACTTTTATATAAGCCCGTGTTTGTCTCTATGAACAGCTTGTTAAGAGACACGTTTATGTTTCCTTCTCTTTTGGGAAAGTCCAATACCTCTTCATACCCTCTGGTAGACAGACTGATGGAGTCTGTAGTTATAGCAACCTTTAAAGAAAGATAGAGGCTGTTTTACATATCACAAACAAAAATTGGATCTGTTTGAAAACAATGCATTTTACATGTTCAGCTGCATCCATGAACCGCAATTGTGAAAACAACACCATGAACTCATTCTCATCCCAGTGTGCTGGATCCCGGAGCAGGACTTCTGGAATTTTGGTTCAGTGCCATTGTGGAGATCACTTCTGTCCCCAGGAAAATCCAGCACCATAATTCCTGAAGGATGCCATCACAAATCTTTGCACACCCTGCATTGAGACTTGGAAAACATTCTTTTCACAAGGCGGTGTAAGATTAACTGTTAAGACAATAGCTGCTTTGAAATTCGATAGAGAAGGATAACACTAGGAAATCCGAAGAGATCTCTGCCATCCCTCACAATCTCTAGGGCAGACTATGTCAAACAAATCCCTTATATATCACAATCAGTATTTCTTTGGAAAGAATCAATAACAATAAAATCCTCCAATAATTCCTCAAGCAGAGGACATATGTGACTCCAGCCCTGAGCATTACTTGACTGGTGGACAGAAGAGGTTGTTACTCTATAAATGGACTACATATTGCACAAATCTATATGGGAGACTGACCTAAACTCAGTGCCCTTGTGCTGGACTTGAGGAAAACAGATTACACCATCTTCCAACTCCACCCACACTTACTCCTCATTTGTGCTCTGTATTTCATACAGCTGCAAATCTTTAATTGCACCCCCTAGTATCTACCAAGTATATGGTGAAACATGGCATGTATGTACAATTGGAAATTAGACAGAAACATACAGAAAGTTTTGGCATGTCCTTGACTGAAGGTGCATCGTGCTTACATAAGATGATTTTGCATTGCATTTGAAATAACAGTTGATTTATGCAAAATACTAGCAGTTTGATTTCTTAATCTTGCCTGGTCCAGTAAATTCTTCCTTATCTATTACCAGTATCAATTTTCTCCACGACTTCCATTTGGGGCTAAATTGGCAGTACTTTTTGATTTACCTCTATAAATATCAATTGTTCTATCCAGCAACTCTTAAAGAAACACCAGCAAACAGAATCTCCAAATGGTGCTTGCTCTATTTCTATGAGTAGCCTCCAATGATTTTTGAAGTTTCAGCCTCTTAGAGTCATAGAGCTGTACAGCATGGAATCAGACCCTTTGGTCCAACTCATTCATACTGACTGGATTTCTGTATAAATCTAGTCCCATTTGCCAGCATTTTGCCCATATCCTTCTAAACCCTTCCTATTCATATACCCATCCAGATACCTTTTAAATGTTGTAATTGTACCAGCCTCCACCATTTCCTCTGGCAGCTCATTCCATAGAGACACCCTCCTCTGTGTGAAAAAGTTGCCCCTTAGGTCCCTTAGATATCTTTCCTCTCTCACCTTAAACCTATGCCGTATAGTTT